TTGCTAGTTAAAGGAAAAACTATTAATGACAAGCGCTAACATTTAAAGACTATTTCTTATACACATTTTAAAATGTTTGCCAGTCTTGCCAAGAATTCGTTAGGTGGCGCTGTCAAGCAGCTATAAAAATGGGACACTTCCTGTCTTTCAGTCTTTTTCTCTCTTTTTTTTTATTTTAACCTGCAGTAGGAGTGTCAGCACCGATCAGGACTTCTGAAGACATGAGAAAAACTCACCCCCTGTAGAGACTGTAGAGTTTTAACCACACACACACACACACACACACACACACACACACACACACACAAAAAAAAAAAAAAAAAAAAAAAAAACTTCCTAACTATGACAGGTGTGAAACAATTTCAGCAAGGTGATATTTTCGATGTTTGTTATTTGCATAACCGAGTAAAGAAAAAAGAAAGGAAATACATGCATGCCAAAAGCTGAGATCATTTTGTAGTCCAATAACTTAGCCAATTGGCGTTCAACTATATTTAGCGTATTAGGGCAGCGAATCTTTATTCTATCATTTATTGTTAAATATAACAGACAACGAATGTCTATTATTTTAGATCATGAGCCATTCTAAGCTTCGCGAAACTAAAATCACTATACGAAGCATAGAACGCCTCATAAGCTGCGCCAATAGATTATATATATATATGTATAAAAGTTTAATTATAATATATATTATTAATAATGTAGATATTATATATAGTATTATTGTCATGGGTCCTTAACAACAGAATGAACTCTTCCTATGTATAGTACGCCTCTCAAGAGAGAGGGCCGAATCGAGTCGAGCCGATAGTAGTTCACTCCAAACCAGACTGACAGTCATACTAACACCTTCCACATCTTGTATTATTATTTCGTGTTAATATACCTTCGTTATTTCGACTCTTGTGTTCGTGTTGTTCTTCCTTGGTCCTAACCTGGACCATAACATTTATATTATATATATATATATATATATATATATATATATATATATATATATGTGTGTGTATATATATATATATATATATATATATATATATATATATATATTATTATTATTATTATTATATATTATTATTATTATTATTATAGCATCTCATCAGGCAGTGGTACCACCTGATGGGATAAATAAAGGCATTAATGAATTTATGTAGGAGAAATATGAATATTCGAATTTAATAAGCTATACTAAATAATTATCGCTCTATTTTTGTACTGAGCTCCATTTTAAATTAACGTTATGGACGCGTTTCAATATATATATATATATATATATATATATATATATATATATATATATATATATATATATATATATGTTGACTTGACTTGGATCGGTTTTTACCTTGGTCGCGTTGAACCGGCTTCCTCCCGAGCAAGTACAGCATCACGGACCATCGCTGCCCACGCTCGCCGATCCTGAGCCAGGTCACACGAAATGGCGAGCCAATCGCGTTTTCATCGTCGAAGACCAACTACTTGTGGACCCAATAATATATATATATATATATTTTTTGTCTCCTTGCAAAGGAGGTTACTTATATGATCTTTTAAAAAGATTTTTTTAATTGTATTATTTCAATTTAGTATGTTTTATACAAAAATTTATGATACAAACATTTAAGAACTTTGTTTGTATACCCTTAGTTATTTATTTTTGGCCGCAATTCTCTCATATAAAGGGCTTCCAGAATTTTTTGCTTATTATTTTGATGAAGCATTGATGTATTTTCGATTAATATCTGTCTGAACTGTGAATGTGGACATTAGTGTCCCTTTAAATGTTCTAAGATTGAACTATAAGCATTCAAATGAAGCGTAAGCCTTCTCGTCATCCTCGATATACTAGTAGTTGCCCGGGGATGTAACAGTAAGAGATAGATCAAGTATCGACCATCATAAAGACTGAAAAATAAAATCGACAAAGATTATTGTTTAAGGTTGACGGACACGCATGTCTTAATTAGTTTTTTTTGTTGTTGTTTTTTTCAAACCCAAACTCAAACAAAAACATTGTTTTCAATCGTTATGAGTCTACCGATTGAATAGAATTTTATTATAAACAATTGTCTTGTAAATGGAATTTTTAAAGCATTCTGAATGTAAAAATAAAGAAAAAAAGTGTGCAAGACAATAAGAAACACTACCTGCCAAAAAAAGTGAAGTTTTGCTGAAATCGGTTGAAAAATGTAGGAAATCCGATCCCATATATAAACAAACACACACACACACATAAACAACCTGGGTTTTATAATAAGTATAACTTGATATGAGTTGTCCCCCTTTCATTTTCGCGATGCCTCTTAATCATGTTTTCAAATTGATTTCGTGCAAAAACAATTGCGTTTTTCCAATTTTTGGCGCTGTCAGAACCACCGCAAGGTAATTTTACGTAGTCCTGTGAAGTTTTGTTGAAATCGGTTGAAAAAATGTAGGAAACCGATCCAATATATAAACGTACAGACACACACACAATTATGCGTTTTATAATAACTAATAT